CCCATTTTACTCTCTCGGTTTTGTTGTTTCCATGCAACTGAATGTGCTGCATCAGCCCGCCTCATGTTTAAGTCGCTACGATATTTGAGATTTCGCGATACACATATAGTTTTGTAATGCACTACTCATAAGGTTGCTGGAAACCCCTCGACGGCCCACGACCGGTTTCGCCTTTCTTGGGGCTCATCAGGTAGGCGCAGTCCCCGAGTTTCCGTCAACCTTATGCTTTACTTGAAACCTGAAACATGAGGCGGCCTGGTGAGCACATTCAGTTGCCCGGAGACATCACAAACGAGAGATTCAGCTGGGTTCCAGGTGAGCCTCTCGAAAAACCAAGTTAATTTGCAAATTAGTGTATGTTCGCTAATTTCGTGCAATTTGGCTTCAAGTAGAACCTAAGGTTGACGGAAACTCGAAGACTGCGCCACTTGATGAGCCCCAAGAAGGGTGAAACTGGTCGTGGACTGTCGGCGATTTTTCAGCAACTTTATGAGTAGTGCATTACAAGTATACATGATAATAAGCCAATTTAGTTAGAGTTGATATATACCTGGGATACGGCGTTCCAAATCGTGTGGAGATGTCACTCAGATTACTGAAACTCGGTAATAAACATCAATAATAAATAACGTCATTTGAAGGTTGACAGTAAATTTTATGCTCTGCCATGCATTTGGTTCGGTCAACCATAGCAGCTGAAAATGTGAGGGCAGTTCTTTGATGAGCGTTGAGAAAGGCTTGGTTTAAAATCAAGTTGACCCGACAGAATCTCTGAGAATATAAATAACGCGAATCTTCTGAATAACTGATATAGTTGATATATTTGATTAGCTGAACGTAGATTAGCCTCTGTAACTCAGTTAGCAAAACCGCTGTGTTTTCTCCCAATTATCTTTCCATCTATCAGAAACTGCGTAGAGAAGAGCGAGCCACCCTAAAATTAAAAGATGGCTTTTCTTTGGTACCTTATTAGGTGAGAGACTACGTTAAAACCAACAGGATTAATGTTATTGGGTTTGAATTTTTCCGAATAAGTTCATGTCACAAAGCTTTGTGCGAATTCGTTTTGAACTGGCTGATGCCGTTCGGATACTTGAAAAATTTTAGTCCCTTGTTCCTCTCCTGCTATGAATTGAGCGGCGTTACTTATCATACTATTCGATCCGTGAAACGGTCTTCTCAGTAAAGCATTCTGTTTAATGAAGCACCGCGGACAAGTATTCAGATGTATATGTGTATATATGAGTGTACTATGAAACTATTTCAACAGTAAAAGCGCGGCCATCCTTCACACGGATAGAATTTGCTCAGGCGAGAGAGTTACGTAACTCCTCTGTGGTGAAACCTCAAGGCTGTTCATTCTGTTGGGGAAACGATCAAACCACAAAGAGACGAGCAGTTTGATACTTGCTAGTTTTGCGCACAACCACGCGGTCCTACTGCAGATGGAAGCCTTATGGAGAGATGCACTAGAGGGGGGGTTACTCGATTGATCGCCCAACTTTAGTACATAACGTGTAGTACAGACAAAGATTTGCTTTGAAACGAATAAGAAATGTCGATAATGTATGCAAATAAGCCTTTTAACTTAGGCTATGTTTTCTAACATCTATGTATTATAGTCTGTTGTGGGGTTTGTCTTCGATGAGTGCGGGATTTGAAGAATTCTCATTCTAACCACACTTTTATTTCCGCCTGAAGCACGTACCAAGGTAACTGGGTCGTCTGAGCTGCAACCCTGTTTCCGACCATTCAGTACAACTCCCATAGTTGTATGCCCACGTATGCACATGACTGATCAGCCAGTGTATTTCACACATCATCTCCGTTTCGGTAGTCTGACTGACCACCGAGTGTGGGGTATGGCACACATAATTACGAACGTGGGTGCTTAGCCAGAATGGCCAAGTGGATAGTAATGTAGATCAGAGAATGATGTTTCCAAACTGCTGATCCCTGTCCTGACAGCTAACAGAACATGCCCTGTTACTATGTACCGCACTTTACCTTTGCTCCCGAAACACCCAGGGGGCAGAGTTTGAAGAAGGCGACGAATAAACGTACGAGACATCTGGAATTAGACCAAAAAATAATAGCGATTGTTGCCAATGGAATCCTCTAAATGGCCAGCAAGAGCAGAATGTAAAGTGCCTACCCAATTTTTCGGGATTGCTAGCATACTTAGGGGTCATATGGAAGAAAACGAGTCAGGAGAAGGTGGTGCAAATCCCGTGACTGGGAGAGAACGGCCTCGTTCGAGTGCACCGGAATTGTCGGCAAAAACTACTGAGGTCAAAATAAAGAAGGTAAGTAAGGTTGTCCCTATCAAGGAAAGTGAAGAAAAGGCCAAAGACGTGTGTCATTGTGAGCGAATTTGAAATAGAGTACCAAAACACATGCTGATATTGCCGTATCAGAAAGCTGGAAAGCCATCAACGTGCAAGGAAATTCTACAGTAGCATGTCGGTCTGATTAAGCAGTGTTGCATAGCATTTGGTAATTACCGTTAAGCACTGTACAGCGGAAACGCAATAGCGCTACTTTCAGTTCTACAGCTTTTGATGTTTTTTAATGAATCATTATGTATAGTATCCTAATATTCAAAAATTAAAACACAATTGGTTGTTTTGATTCTCTCTAATACTGTCTTGTCAAAAAAGGGTTAGGGAACTTGTCTGTCCCCGAAATAAACGTGCACCTACAAGAAATAGGACTGGCCTTGAAAACGTTTTCTCGCTCATGCAAGTATAGAAGTACTTTGTGTGTTACAAAAACAGTGTGCCAGGTCTGAAGGTTCTAAGCACATGCTTGACTGTGGCGGATATTCTCTTCTCAGAAGAACTTTCAGACTTTTGGAAAAGAGCATAAAAAGAGGCATGGTTGGAAACGAGGCAAAATATACCGCCTGGTGATAATAGTCTTGTTCTTATTATCAGTTTGTATCAAGAGTGCCTGAATGAGTGCAGATACCTGGGAAGGATTTTGGTAGGCTATCACTTGCTCCACTCCCCATCTTCTCAAATTCTTTTCTCCACAATTATGCCTTCTTGGAAATTCTGTTTGTCGGGCAGCGCAGCATAAATGTTAGAAACCGATGTGCTGTGAATGATGACGATTATGGTAACATTTCTGAAAGCCTCTGCTGTGCCTAGCAGCAGTGACACCCGGTCATTTCGATCCTCAAATTCCACGGAAGAAGTTCACGAATTTGCTTGATAAAATTTGGAATTCCGCACCATCAAGCAATTTGTGAGGCCGCCTGTGAACGAAGTCTTTGATAGGGGTCACTGTGGGGCCAATAAGTCATTGCTCTGACTTTGAGGAGACTTTTTAGAGAAGCCCGCTGGCTCGTCATTTTGCTCAAAATACCTGGAGTGAAGTCAGCTCGGGTTTATGACATCATGGGAGGATCATCGTCTGCACAGAAGATACACGTGAACGAGCGAAGTCCGGCGAACACTGGTAATGCTTTCTTCCGAATGACACCCAAGGCAACAAAGAGCCCGTGACTATCGACCTGTGGTGTGAACACCATCGTTCTCGATAGGTTATTCTGAGGAGGTAGATTTGCGTACATACTATGTAATATGACGTTCGTACTAGTCCTAGTGAGCGTAGTTGAAAGTTACTCCATGCAAGGTTGACAATTGTAGTTCCCTTGCTTTGTCAAATACATACACACAGGGCCAAGGCGACCTCCAGAAGGTATACCAAGTTTTACATACGTTGTTTGAAGAAAACACATGCCCTTATCAAACCGTTCTACACGTTTGTGAAAGTAAATCGCTCAGTTGTGCTAACCTCTCCAGTGATACCCTTTAAACCATGTGGTCATTGAACCAAAGGCTCAGTCCATACTGTAATCTGTGAATGGTGTACTTAGCCTGAAATTTGTCGCCTGACGTCAAGAGCCAACAGACAGTAGATGAGCTTGAGCGCACCATCACCTTTCTTTTTCAATGGATTAGCCAGAATAACTTCGCGAGGACGGGAGGAGAATAGATCAGACGTAATTGATGAGGAAAACCCACAAGTATCAGCAGATGATAAATACTGGAACTGATTGAGTATAGATGTCGCATTTGTTCAGACCTTACCTGTATACGTCTTCTTTGAGAGAGATCAACTATTCGGTCCACAAAGGTTTATCCATCTATTCGGCTCCTATGACTGACAGGTTGAGCCGAGAACTACACCGAAATTCAAATTCACCAATTCCGCAAACTACCTGGTGGGTGTATACTTCGGAGGAAAAACTAGGAAACATCGCACGCCAATTTGCTAAACCCTAATACGTACAAACAATAAGAGCAAGATTTCAGCATGTTTCGATTCTGGACCATAACTTCCCCATTGATATTTTCTAAACCCACGAGATTTGTATGGTTTGAATGAGGTAACAATAGTGTGAATAAATCTGCTAGTTTTGTTTGTCTATTGAATCTGCATCGAGATATGGCTACGTTGGGAATGGGTGGAGTGGATGATCCACCCGGCATTCACGGTGTGGCAACACCGGTAATAAGACCAGTGAAAAACGAGGGCTCAATGGAATTCGTTGTAGATCGTGCAACGATGAGCAATAATCTTATTCGAGCACCTGGGAAGTTTGCACGTGCCACTTTCTATTTTACCGATCATAAGTGTCTCCGCGACTGCAACCACCCAGTGAAGTCCACAGGTGTCCCCAAAGGGGAGAGGGGGTATCGTCAAAAAACAACTTGTCTGTCTGCATGTTAACTAATGTCCTTGAACGAGTCAACATCAAAAACGTAATCAGAGCGTGTCTACCTGTACGTAACCGCAATGAAATGTTGGTCATTTTGTTTCTGTTATGTATTCAGGCAATCTTGCGACTTTATCTGTCTTCAAGAGCTGGCTTCTAGGAGAAACCCTCGTGCGTAGGTCCCTCTACAGAATGTTAACTGATGTCAAACATCACATCACATATAGTTTGTACCATAACCACAGAAAATTAATGGACAGTCAATTCAGATGGGATTTTTTGTTATGATATCACACACATTGATATACACATAGAAGGGGGTTTCCATTAGAGCGCTAATAATACTCAGTTCACGGAAAAAACGACGCATGCAGAAAAAGGAAGAGACGTAAGATATGACAAATCTTAGTTACAGTTAGGACGCACAGTTTAGGAAAATACAAAACAGCCGTTGACGGATGCATCCAGCATCAAGTTTCAAGTACTGATTAGTTAACAGCTTGAAGTGGGATGGCCTGTGAGTATCAATTAGCCTTAGCTTTCCGTCGCGTGAGAAACAAGTTCAAAACGAACCCTCCCGCACCTATCACGACGATTACAAGAAGCGAAGCGCCAGTAAGGGCTGTGATTGGAATGTTTGTCTTGAAATCCCTGAGGCAAGTTTCACGAGCTCCTAAAATTGACCCGAAGGTCATTTATTAGTCAGACCGGTTTGAATAAGCTTACTGTTATCTCCAGGATCGGATACCGCATCGAATGCTTGAAAAGTCATGTTTCGGAATACCACCGATACGTTGGCACCAAAAGCGACCGGTATCGGTGACTGGCATTCGTATACATCGCTTACTCGTGTCATAAATTTTTTACTTGTACTTGAGTTCAGGTATTGTTTTTCACCTACAGGTCAAACGAATTCGTTAGATCCGGAGAAGTGGAATGGTTCACCTACGTGGAAATGGCTGAGCTGCTCCCGCGTCGTCAAAACTGAATATGAGTGACATGTTGGTCCAGGCAAAGTAGTCCTTTTCTCGCTGTATATAAATAACCATGCTGCATTCGGTTAACTGAGATCCACTGACGTCTGTCTGAACATCCATTAAAATAGTTTTATTCTCCGATTCTGCGTACACAGTGTCATTCAAAGATAGTGTTGTTCCGCTCGGAATGAAAGTGTACGACGTGGTATTGGTGCTGCCATCGGACGTCTAAAGATGAAAACCAATTAATGAGTATTATTGTTTTTTTGGTTTTTCTTAGACCGGACAGTGCTTACATCGTTGGATGGATAGTTGAACTCGATCTGCCATGACCAGCTGGCAAACACGTATGGCGGACTATCAAGCAATGCTGCCGATCCAAGAACAACGCGTCCCAGAGCTGAAGCACAAAATATGACAACAACGAGAACAGCAGATGTCATGCGTACGTGAAAAGTGTAGAATAATCGAAACATTCAAGGCAACGAAGGAAAACCAAAAGGTGTACCAGGATCTGGCCAGACATGACAAAGCATCTCACAACATTAGGGGGAAGGGACAAATAGGAATACAAACATCATGCAGTTCGAGCGAAGTGTATGCAAGTGGGCTCCTTGGTAGTGTATAGTCCCAAACCGGACAAAAAATCACATCATATTAAGTCAGTCAGAACGCGCCTGCTTAAGGTGTTACTGAATGCACCGATCTATTCACCGTGAAAGTCTACTTTCTAGAGGACTGAATCGACAACAGACATAGGGACATCATGTAGGTCTGCTATTTAATTTGCAACATTTGTCTTGTGTCATCCAACGGTGGTTCTACCCAGTGCATCAGCTTACCTATTCATTTGAACAGGAGTTAAACCCAAACTGACAAAGTTCAACGAATAAGTAAACTAAATAATTTGGTACAACCGAACGGTCTGGAATCAGACTGATCAGTGGTGCATCATGGTTAATTGAAAGAATTGTGCAAGAATTGTGCATACCACACTGTAACAACGGCCATTTGAATTGAAGACCACTAAAGTCCACCAGAACTAAAATGAATTTCTCGGACACATCAGCAGAACACTTCCACCAAATGGCCAAACCCAGAAGACGAACTCCAGTAAGTTGTTTAAACTTGTGTTAATTCTATTCACAAGAGGAACCAGCTGCCAAAAAGGCCATTTTGTTTGGCTAATGTAACAAATTTTGGTCGTGGGAACACGTAGAAGGAACCCCTTTGGGTCCCTTGGGGTCCGTTTTGGTACCTTCTGGTTCGTTAAAATAGCCTTTGGAGAGGAATAGAACAAACGCATTTGTTCTTTTGACAGAACAGGTCTTTAAAGGAGATTATTTATGATTGGTCTTCCTAAGGTAGGAATCTGTGGGGCAATTGTTCCAAGTTTAAAACCCGTCTTCAGAAACTAACCAGAGGAGAGTTCGTTCGATGCTTGGTTCAGCGATTCAGGGAAATAACCAAATGTAAGTGGCCCCATTGGAAAGGTGGTCTTTACAGTGCGTAATATGGATGAGGATTGCGTTACAAGACACCAACTTCACTCAGAACGAGCAACGTTATATTCATGGCCTTGTTTAATCAAAAATTGGCGTAGGTAAACCTTTTATCTGTCTTGTTCAGTATGACATTCTACGGTGATAAGCAACCAATTAAGAATTATCAACTAGAAGACGAACCCGACGAGGCCGGAGTAAAATGGTCTTATTTGAGAGCGATAGGTGAATATTATATGTTTTCTACCGTGGATATTCGTGAATTACCAAAGTGCCGATCTGGGTTGCCACACTCACACTTCCAATATAGACATTCTCGTACTGTCAAGCAGAACCTGTTCACACGCACTGTCGTTCACTGCAATGATTGTTCCGACCGAAGTCTCTAACTGTGTGCGAACAAAGCCGGATGGTTTAATTACGTTTACTGCTCACGATCCAGTACCGCTATCCACGGTTACTTTCCATAAAGCATCTTAGTGTGTGTAACCATGCTACTGCGGTAAATAATAATTTGTTTGCCCGGAAAAGGCTTTGATAAGAATTTTTGGTGGTACAGTGTCCAAGTATGCTGAGAACCAGCCAATAGTGGCTCATCCAAGTCATGGCATAATGAACGACGTTCGCATCTACCAATCTGTTATCAAACCCTTACTTCACCGAGTGATATGCACTTGTAAATAACTTCTATATCCATAACTTGCATTGGCAAGTCCACCTAGAAGTGAGCCTATCTTATGTTAATTTCTTAAGTGTATTTGACATGTGCACTGGCGTTTATAGCTGCCTACAACTCCAAATGTTTATTTCGGAATCAATACTGTTGATGGCACTAACACCGTGAAGTATATACACGTCACTAGTACAGCGCGTAATGTATGAATCATGAATTTATATCCTTCTTGAACAACCGATATTAGTCGATGTGTGTGTGATAATTTGTACAACAAAGCAAGGAAATCCTCGATAGTTTGGTCATCCTTCGGAAAGATAGCACACTAGATCATGCATTTTGAGAAGTAATTTTTTGCATTCACCTGGAAGATGGTCTCTCTCTCTCCAGGAGTCTCCCTTGACGATAGTAATATGTAGTGGTTTACATTGCAGCGTTTTTCAATATTCCCAGCTCGTGTCCACGTGTTACGTATAACACTTGAGGTTACGTTGTCATACACTTAAGAGTGGTGAGCTGAAAATATGAACAACTACCGGCTTATTCGAAACTTCAGAAGGTCTCATATGAATGGAACGAGTGTAACACGTAGCTCACCCCGCATTCGCATTCTTCTCTTAGTTTTTGAACACTAGTCATCCTTCGGGCATAGTGCTTTGCCTACATTTTTCTACGTTCTCTTCCTAACCAAGAAACACTGGGCTAACCAGTCGTGGGTTTTTAGCGAATTTCGACCAACACATATCTTACATCAGTTGCATCTGGTGTTCAGGCCAAGAACATACTGTAATGCAGAGCACATTAATGTGTGCAAATTAAATGATCCGAGTAAACCTATAACTACAATGAGTAACAGAGTCCTAAAGCGTTGTACTCCAAACATTCACACAGATCGACAACTAAAAAGCTTTTGAATATATATGACCCTTGGAAGTTGTGGTTGGAATACTTGCATCGATAACGAAGCATACGGAGTAAATCCCACGCGGTGTAATCGTTACTTCCCACAAAATCTTCCAAAAAGGTGTCTAATATCACGTCTAAGCAGAAGTTGCCGGGTTTCGAATTGTAACTGACAAGGAAATGGACGTTTTGAGCGTGCGGGTAATAAATTTCACCCAAATGAAAGGAATCAGTTAACGGTTGCAGGGTTTGGACTCTAGCAACAGCAAGCGAAAATAAAACTGGCAAGACCTCGTCTTCATTATGTCTTCCTAACGCCATTTTAGACGAGCATGGGAAGGCGTATTTTAATTTTTGAGGTGTATTCGTTTTTGCTGACCACTCCATCCCGTCAAACGTTTGCTCAGCAGGTATTCCTCCCATAGATTGGTGAGTGTGTGAAGTTGCACCAGAACGTAAGATTATCATTCCTTCGATTTTTTCATAACTCTGGCATCGATCAGACTTGAAAATTCACCCAGGCTTGTTGGAAGCCGTCTTTTAATTGTTGTTGAGCAAAAAGGTTGTCGAATTGAAAACCGGTTAAGTCTTCGTTACTATATTCGAATATAGAAAAGCTACTTATGTTTTTCGTCAGTTGGCGCGTTTTATTTTATAATCTGTGGTATTCTAGGGGTTTTGTTCGCCAGATGGAAATTAAAGTATGCTTAACACGTCACTTAGTTCGGAAGTTATTTTGGTCTTAAATTTATTTTCGGATGGAATAAGTATACACTTATCGGAAAACGTCTTGGCCTACTGTTATCTACATCACCTAAGGTGTTAAAACTGTGTCATTGTCACTGAACTTAGATGTTTCAGTTACACAACCTTCATCTTCAAATTTTGTTGGCAATTGTTCAGGAAACAATTGCTCGGTGAACACTGGTAATGTGGAAATAGACAGCGTGGCGGGTACGGACCATACACATGGGAAAATCCAAAAGGCTTATTTGCGGGACAGATAGCAGTGAGTTCAGAAACACGGAAATGTCAAATAGTGAGACATGTGGAACCATATCCACAAAGGCCAAACATATATTTACCTAGATATTATTTAGAAAATGTTAGATGTAAAAGAATGCGCGTAAAACAAACGCATATGAAGTTGACTTTACGATTAACGGACTGTCTCGCTTGCTGAGTGTGATACCCTTAGACGACTACGCAGCCATTTTCACGGATCTAGGCCTTTGCACTATACCTCTTACATCAATGAGCGTCCAGCCAACCCAGAGACAGTTAACGTGAAGGTTGAATTTTGCAGTAGTAATCCGTTTATTAGAGTTATGAATAAGAGGGAATATGAAGCTGGCAGCAAATCAAGACGACCGACTAGTCTAACCAACCCGTCGATTACAATTGCCGTTCTTCTACGAAACAGCAGCTGTTTACGCAAAGTGACATCCACCTTGCTCTTTTTCGGTTTTCTTGGCCATTTTGCTTGATTTGCTAATAAAGCCATGCCTCACTTACTGTGAAATCTCCAAATTTTAATTTCTGGCCAGATGATCAACCATGCTTTGCAGCTTATCGTTTGCGACGAAATCCGACATGTGAGTTTATGAACCACATCGAAGTCACGTGATTCAACAATGCAACTCGAGAATAGATTTATGAACTGCATTCTCCAGCATGAGGACAGCTTTGTTCTCACCTAAAATTTATCGTGTACGACTTCACCCGCCAAAATAAAATATGGTTTAAGATTATGTTACGTTTCTGCACACGGACGTGTGTTTTTAAATAACACATGCAGCATCGATATGAGCGAGGTTGAAACTCCAGCATGACACAGACTGATGGGACAGACCGAACTAGAGCCTGGTCCTATCGGAGCTTGAAATGCGTAGGACGTACAATACTATTGAAGACCTCTTTCAACACTACATCCTACCACTGGGATCTAAGACCCGTGCACTGATAAATTTTCTGCTACGAAGTGCCCAAAGTATTTGTTTTGTTCCATCAAACTAATGGTGTCACGATCACCTTTGTGATGTTCTGCATTACAGTCTGATTAACAAAATCGTTGGCTAAGTTGCGTGACAGTATCACGCTGATACAAAGGACACTGAAATACCGAAAAGCAGAAATTAACTTCAGGGATGGCTGGCATATCAGAAACAACAATCGTGGTAAGCAATAAGATAACTGGCTATCAAGTATGATACATGCAGTCGTCCGTGAAGCCGAAACACAGAGGTGTAAATATCCAAAACTTAGCAAAGCACACCATCCCTGTCCATGGCGCTGTTTGAAAAATGATCCGACTTTGATGCA